ACCCCAGCCACGCCAGCCCAGGACACCGGCCCCTCCACGCGCCCAAGACAGATGCAGATTGACCGTACTTGAGAGAGAATTTATTTAAGACATCAATGACAAACCCAAATACCGCACTTCACCTGCACCGCGAGGGAGAGCGATGCTGTAACAGCAGCAGCGGCGTCATTAGGGACAGGACGGGCAACGACCGACGTACAGCCCGTAGAGCCCAGCAGCGTAACGACTTTGCGCAGCAGAGGAATGACGGGAACTCACGGAGGATCTGCTCACACCCTGACCTACTCCTTCCCTTGGGAATACTCGGCTGCATGGCAGGCTCCGATCTGCATGTTACAGTTTATTTAAATACATATATTTTGGCTCGGAGCCCGTCATTAAGTCCAAAAATGGTCTCTCAATTAAGGGCTTCAAGAAGAAAGCAGGACTAATGGTCTATTTCTGGGCATTTCAAAATACTGCCAACCATATGGGTTGCTTGCAGGATGAGAAATACAGACTTTAAAAAGCTCTCAGCAGTCCCTCACCATCAATTTTTCCCCTTCTCAGTAACTTCAGAGCTATAAGGAGGAGGATCCGACTCTCCCGACACATCTCAGTGTGCTGTGGAAGTGAGCAGATGTTCTTTGGAGGGGGTGGGAAGATCATCATGGCATGGGTGGGATTAGACAAAGCTTCTCTCCAAACACATGGCTCTCCCAGCCCACATCCCATGCCGTCCTGCAGGCTCGGGTCCTCCAGCAAGGAATGACAGACCTTTTGCTGTCCCCAGGAGAAGGGCAGAGGCTGAAAAGCCACTTCCCCAGGTCCTGCGTCTCCCCATCAAGATACGGATGTGAAGCAGCTCCATCTCGCCTCGGCAGGGTCCGTCCCCAGCACTGCCAGCCTTGCCCTTCATCTCCCTCCCCTTGTTTCCAAAGCACTCGGCTTTCTGCAGACCTCACCCCCTGCACCGATCCCAGCTTGGGAGGCACCAACCTTGCTGCTGTTGCTGAGAGCAAAGAAAAATCGAGGCTGCAAATAACCCCCTGGGCTTGTAACCAAGAAAATGCCAGCACTGAGCAAAGCCACCTTCCAACCTGCCTGCCCTTGGGATTTGCTGGCAGATTTTTGTCCCAGCTATTCACGTCTGTTGTGATGACCTGAGCTCTGGCCTTCGTAGTGAAACTGCTTTAACCAGGTAGTCCTCTTACCCCCGAGGATGAACATGCTCCTGACTGCGGTTCACAAGTCAGGTGTAAAAAGAAGCGGGTGCCAGTTTAAGCAGCCCTGGAGGGGGTGGCACGCTTGCCCTCCCGGCTCCACCTGGGTCCAGTGCCAAGGCAGTCGCTTTTTGAGAGCAGGGCTTGCTGACACACATCAGTAGAGCTGCTACTGCAACAAGGGGGGAGAGAAATGTGCTTTTTATCCTGGAATCACTCACCCCTTCCTTCTCGTGGCCAAGAGAAGCGCCTATGTGAGACATACAGAAACTACAGAGCAAGGCTGCGCCGATGCGACTCTTCCAGCGTAGTTCGTCGTGCGGGCGAGCCTCCAGCGCGCGGTGAGCTCAGTCCACCTTCTCCCCCAGCTACGGGGCGGGCTGAGCTCCCTCGCAGCGACCCCCCTTCACCTCTTGCTGTGAAATGCAATGCCAACAGCAGCCGGGGGGGCCAAGGTGTGGGGTATACAGACACCTTTCTGGCATCAGAAATGACGGCCACCGCAGAACGACCAACGCACTGCGGCAGGGAAGTCACACTGAGGCTTAGGGGTCGGTTTATCCCTTCGCCGTTAACTCACAGCTGAAAGCACTCCTCTCTACGGTGTAAAGGCTCAATGGAAGGGTGGGAAAGCAATAAGGTTGTCTGGGCACCGTCTGCTATCTTTCACTGCCCCGGGCAGGGGTATGCCCAGCTCTCAGAGCTCGCTGTGCCTCTTGCCCTGCTTCTCCCTTGCCGCCAGCCTCGGGGCTGTCCCCCGCAGGTCCCTCCCAGGGGACCCGACTTTCTCTGCCTTGGTCTCCTGGGACGGCTCCTCCCGGACGGCGGTGTCCCCTCCCGGGCTTTCGGGCAGGCGCCGCTCCGGCGTGTCCCTGCGGCACTGGGAGGCGTGGAGTGGGAGCTCAGGCACGGCCGTCTCCATCATCTGGAGGAAGTCGTAAGCAGGGAGAGGTGGTTTCCAGTCTTCCTCAGACAAGGTACCTGAGAAGCAAATACAGTCCCATGGTAATGAGAGTTATGCAGCCCCACTCCACAGACATTTCCCTTCTATGGCTTGCTTTGCTCTTCCAGTGAAAGCAAAATTAAAGATAGTTTCTTAAAGAACACCCTCTTTCCTCCAAAACTAATACCCCCACCCAAATGCAACCAGCCAGGGGTGCAATCCTATTTACCGGAGCTGGCCAAGGCTCCGTTCCCCAAAGGCTGTGGGGGTCCCTCTGTCCTCACACACCCCCACTGCAAAGGTCACACTGGGTGTCCAGCCACCAGTGGGTGGATGTTCCGTCCAGGCCCCAGATAACTGTTAATGACCGTGCATTAGTGACACGCCGTTAGGAGTGAGGGGAGACTGCTGTCTACACGGGGGGGAAGCGGTCCCGTGACATGAGGATGCTCTTTCATTTATGCTTGTAAGACCGACCACACGGTTCGTAGCATTTAAAAGCCTGAGGAAGGGGGCTGTGATGGCTGGGGCAAACCCTTGCTGCGGGGCGGGGCGCCCGCGCATGTGCTGGGAGCCGCTCGGCCATCAGCGCACCCCTCTGACACCCTGACAGCTAAGGTCCCTACCTAGGGACCTACGTGACAGCCAGGTGCCTTTAGCAGTGGTGATGGAGAGACGTGTGGGGGTCAGCTGGCTCACGGGGTTCTCCCAGCGATTACTGGGTCAGAAAAGGTGCCTTCAGCTCTGGTGAGAACCTACACATCCTACCCCACCATGCTTTTGGAAACATTTGGTTTGAAAGCCTCATTTTAAAATTCACAAGGATCAAGTGGAGTCAACCCCACTGGCCTTCCGGAGCCTGGAGCAGGCTGGCAGCCGGCAATTCCCAAGGTCCCTGCGGCACCCTATGGCTACACGTAACACGTGACGAAGGCACATCTCCGCTGCCTTCCTCCAAAGCTTCAGTGGACTGATGAAGGCAGGAGGGGTGCAGTGAAAAGCTTCAAGGTACAAGCCAACCCTTTACGTCCCAAAGACCACAGCAAAACACCAGCTTCCTTATCCTCTCCTGTCCAAAAAATTCTGGAAAGCGCTTAAAGAGCAGCTATTTCTTACGCTGACAGCTGGGAGCCGGGAGTTGTTTTATTAGCAAGCTGTGTTTCAGAAGGTCTGTTCGCAGCAACTGGAGAGCACAGCCAGGTTTGGGAATTATCGCAGGGTAGAGATGTCGATTCAGAACTATTCACTATTCTGAACATTAAACAGTCCCGAAGCAAACTCGCGAGTGTGGATATTCTCTTCTGGACAGACTATTTGTACTTCTCCAGCTCAAACTAGCATAGCTAGTTTTTCCATCGTTAAATTCCAGGACAGACAATTTATTGCACATAGCATCTTCTCATAAACAGACCAGCGCTAACAGTGCGTGCTTAGGAACATTACAAACGTGTGTCCACTTACTGCTGGGAATCTCCAGTCCTGCTTTTAGCTTCTCCAGCCAAGACAAGATGTTCGTTTCAGTGATGGCCTGCTCTGATGGGAACTTGAATACCTGACCCCCAGCATGAAGGTTCACCCAGACGAGAAGAGGCAGCGAAGGCGTGGTGGTGAAGTACGCCTTCAGGACCCCGCGTCCCACTGGAGTCTTCTTCCTGTAGGGAAGAGGAGATTCAACTTGCTCACCAGTGGTTTGGCAGCACGACAGGACTGAGAGCTGAAAAAGCACCAAAGCCCTTGGGCCACATCCAGCAAAGGCACAGTTTTGCCTATGGGGCAGCCGTAGAAGTTCTCTCTGTTATTTATTAGAAGCTCAATGCCTTAACTGGGGTCCAATGGGGACGGAGCAGACAGCAGGTTGGAAGTGTAAAGATAACCTCGAGCAGGAGGAGATGGACGAACTCTGTAGGAAATGTGAAATGTTCGCCACCGCAAGTTTTTCAGAAGAGGTGAGACAGGAGAGGGACAGACCCTGCAGCCCCCCACGTTAGCCCCTCTTTGCAGGGAGAGCTACCAGCCCCCTCCAGCCCAGCTGCTGCCACCGCCCCGCACCCGCAGCGGGTCCGCAGGGGACGGAGGCAGGAGGCGACGC